AGACCAAGAAAAGGAATTTTTTGAGTCTAGCCTGGATCCTGAGTGGGGACACTAAGCCAGGAACCCAGGGCCTCTCCGGAGCCTCAACTACAGACAGTTGGGTAGAGATAGCAGCTGTCTGTCGCCTGGACTATCTCTGTTTGATTGACAGGCTATTCTGGATTTCGATGTCCTTGGCAGCTACAACTAGAGTTGCCAGGTTTAGCAACCTGGTTGTAGAAATATAGGTCACCTAACTATTGCAGAAAGCCTACTTAGCCTAAAAAAATATTGTTTATCCAAAATTCAAATTTCACTGGACATCCTATATTTTATCTGGCAGATCAAGCTGCAGCCCAAATGATTTTAATATCTTTGAACCTGAAATTAGTGGCTCTGGTGCATTTTGAAAACATAATTATTAGCCTGGGCTTGCTTATTGTAAACCAGATTACTTAAGGCCACAAGGAAAGTGGTGGTCGATTGCCATCTCGTGGGGAGGCTTGGGTAGTGCAAGCTTAAACTGGAAGGGGAGACGTTGCCTTCTGGGGTCTGCAGAGTCCCCAGGTGGTAGTGTGGAGTGGTCCCTGGCTTTGGAATTTTCTCCCTCACTCCAGCTGAAATCAAAACTGGAGTTAATTGCAAGAAAAGCAAGTGAAAATAGCTCAGAGGATGTGAGCTACTGAAAAAATTCTATGGATATAATTCCAGAAAATTATAATGAGGGCATAAAAGGCATCAAAAGTTACCCTATGGCTACAAACTCAGACTGCAAAAGGTCTGAAAAGATGTGAAAACTACAGGAGACACACACTGGGATTCCAGGGCGAAGATCGCCAAGTGTGGAGCCCAGGAGAGGCTCCACGCTAAGGACCAGCACTAACATGGCGACAGTAGTTAACAGAACCAGACTTGCAACAGGAAAAAGATAAAAGTGATTGCTCGAGGCAGATTAAATGTCATCCTATAATTCAGAGAGGAGCGACAATGGCCTCATCTTAGCTCTTCTCCAGAAAGGAACATGTGGTAGAAATTGAGTGTTTGAATACGACACATCAGATGTTCTTAAAGCCAAAACACACGTCTTAGAGCTGATGTAAATAATTCTATATATTTTTCCAGAGCAAAGCAGGAGACAGTCTCTGAGATTTAATAAAGACAATTATCCTATTTTTTTAAAAAGATGGCATGTAGACTTCAAAGAATTGAGTTAATGTGAAATTCTCGAACGTCTACATTATTAAAAGATGGTTTGTGAACACTTAGGTTTAAATAAATCATAAAAGACAACAGGTAAGTCATGCCAAATCATCTCGTTTATTAGGCTGTTAGGTTTACAAGGATGTTCAATTATTAGAGTACTAGAAAGAGAATGTGTTTTGATTCTAGTGAGCAATAAAACAAAGTTTCCCCCCAAATTCTTATGGGTAAGAGATGGCAAAGGATGGTCCTGGAGATAATCTAAGGAAGGAAGATTTTTCACTCGTCTAACCTGCTATTCTAGTAAATATTTATTAATGGGGTCATTTCAAGGAGAAATGTCAAAATGTTCTGTACTTACTTATATCCTGTTTACTAATTATCATGGACTTGATTATAAAATACATAAAAACACACTGATCAAATTTGCAGAGAACTAGATTGCAAAGAAAATAGCTAATGTCCTATGACAACGCCCAATCGTCTCAGCAAGCTCAACATGAGCTAAAATTAACCTAATAAAACTGGACAGCCAGTATAAATCCTTGTCGATTTATATGCAAAATGTCAGTCCTCTAAATACAAAATGAGAGAGAATGTCTTTAAAATTGCTTTTATTAAAATGACCCAGAGGTCTTAGTGGGCAATAAATTTGTTCTGAATGAAGAATATGAACTGGCTGCAAAAAGAAAAAAAAAAAAAAAAGCCTATTCTCCTCCCGGTAACCTTGGGGGGTGAGAGTCACACCATCCAGAAGAATTGACCAAACCCTGCAGGGGCACAGCCATAAGCTCAATACATTTGTAATTCATGTCTGAAGATGTGTAACCTACACCCCTAAATTATATACCATGTTGTAAAACATTGTTACCTGAATTAAAAAAAAAATATGTAAAGAGTAAGAAAAGAAATTAAAAGAGGCATTTAGGGAGTCACAGAGGCGGAGTCAGAGCCGCAGGAGGGCTGCAGAGGAGTTTCCAACATCACCTGCACAAGGCAGGGCTGCGGGGAATGACCAAATCCTCAGATTTTGCAACACCGGATTTATTCTTTGGAGCAGCTGGAAAGCAAGGATCATGGATGTCCTCGCAGCTGAAGACTGAGCTTCATAATTAAGCTTTCAAAATTCCTCTGGTCTCTGGCGGAAGAAATTTGGCCACTCACCCTCCCTGGCGGCCTCCACGGGGATGTTGCAAAGAGGGGGCCAGGGCTGGGGGAGATGAATTCTCTCTGGTGAGGCTACAGAGGAAGGAGACTCCTGCTTCTGTCAGACTGGGCTTGCAGGCTTGTAAGGTCTCTCCACTGCAGGACGCTGTGCTTCTAGGGAGTTTTCACCATTTTCTGTTTGCTCTATCTTCATTGTGTGTGTGTGTGTGTGTGTGTAGAAGAACTAGGGTGCAGGTCAGAGGTGTGGGGGGATGGGGCAGGGTGAGAGATTCACCAGAGACAGAGTGGGGAGCACAACACGTGGATCTACGGAAATCCACTGCGGAGGGAGCAGCGGGGAGACAGGAGAGGTCTGCTGCGCCCTGTGGGCATCTCCCTGGCCGGGGATGGAACTCAGGCCGCAGCGGTGATAGTGCTGAGACTTAACCCCCGGCCACCGGGAGGCGCTCTCTCATTCAGTCTGAATTCTCAGTGGCCGTTCTGCCTCCAGCATCCTAGTCATCACCAGCCCCTTCGAGTCCTGCGTCTGGTTCTATATGGGTCACGGTCAAGGCCCGTAACAACCAGCTCTCGCTGTCCACGTGTCCCTTCCCACCACCCGGCGTCCGCTGGGCTAGTTGCTGACCCGCCTGAGAGCCACTGTCTCCTCCCAGTGCTCCCGCGCATGGGTCTGCTGGTCCCATCCACGTTCCCCGCGAGGGTGTGCTGTCTCGGCAGAGGGCGTCCAGGCTGCTGGCACCAGCATCTCCTCTGTGCGGGTCCACCTGGTTCTCTCCCGGGTCAGCTGAGCCTCCTGCCTCCCTGGCGGTCTCTCAGGCGCATCAGCCCTGACTGTCCTCCCCACAGCGTCCCCCTGGGGTCCCCCTCGGCTGGCTGCCCATCTCGCACATCCTCATTTCCAGTCTTTCCTGAGCTTTCCCCTGGACCCCACCAAGCAGAGGTCATCCGTCCGGCTCTCCCTCCACCCATGGTGCTTCCTTCCAGGTCCGCGGCTGCCCTCAGCCCCTCCCCATGCCCTGTTGCTCCACGCGGCCAGGGTGTCCCGGGAGGCCCCCACGTTCTCGCTGCTTCCGTCTCACACACGGCGCATCGCAGCCGAGCCCGTCCACCTGTTTCCCCTTGATTCCTCCCCTTGTGTTCGCCCCCAGATGCTCCAGGCCCGGGGGGACCTGCGTGTCCTCTCACGATTTTCTTACAGGCTGCGTTTGTCCTGGTTCTTTGCACCCCGCCTCTCACTCTGGCGAGGTCCCGACCTTTACGCCTCCTCCCAGCCAGCCTCCTGCGTCCCCTCAGCCCGCTCTATTCCCCGGGCTCTCCCGCTCTGCTTCCCTCCTGGGGGTAGGTACTCCTGGGGGTAGGTACTCCTGGGGGTAGGTACTCCTGGGGGTAGGTGCTCGGGCCTCTGCGCTGCACCCCACTTTGTCGCTGCTTCAGGATAGATTTCAGTCTCTTTCCGCCACTCGGCCTCTAGCTATTCCTCACGGCCCACCCCGCCCTTCCTCCTGGCCCTGCTTGGGACCGTCTCCCCGACACCCTCCCTCCTTAGCTGCCGGGCTCCCCGCCTCCTGCTCCTCCCCCGGCACGCCAGGGCGGAAGCTCAGCGTGGACCAGTGACCTCTCCTGGGTGTGTCCCCAGCACTGAAGCTGTCACTGTGCCCGGCCGGCAGCCAGAGCTCACGGGGCTGCTCAGGCTCATGGGGACGCCCCAAGCCACACCCCAGCATGGAGGCCTGGCCCCTGCCCTCCCGACCGTGTCCCCCCGGCCTCTGCCCACACCGCAGCCCCCTGCTCCCGAGAGGAGCGCTGGCCCAGGTGGGAGCGGTGAGTGGACGGAGGGGCCCAGCTGCTGCCCATGAGCCGGCGGTCCCTGGCTGTGCCCCCGGGGCCCGGGAGGGGAACCGGGGATCCTTCACCCTGGCCCGGAGAGGCCTGTGTCCCGGACAGTGGGGCTGCGCGCGGCCCCTCCCCAGGATAAAGAAGGGGTGTGGGGAGGCGGTTAGGGGAAGGGGTGGGGGCTGGGGTGGGGGAGGGCGAGGGAAGCCAAACTGACATCAACTTCTGGGCACTGGGCAGCTCCTGAGGGAGGGAGAAGACCCTGGGGACACAGGCCTCAGCGCGCAGCCCTGGAGACGTCGTGCCGCGCCCCCAGGCGGCCCTGGGACCCCAGACTCCAGGGGGAGGCCTGGGCGCAGCTTCGCTCAGGCTCAGGCGCGGACCTGGGGTGGAGCAGGGCTGACGGGCAGGACTGGACACCAGGACTGACTCCCCCGATTCCTGCCCCGCAGGGAGGCGGCTGGGGCGCAGGGGCTGCACCACGGGCTGCGCGGCTGCCGAGGGCAGGGCACGAGGGGCCTTCTCGGCCGGGACGGAGACGCGTCACTACAGAGACGAGCCCAGGTGAGTGTTTACTGTTCACAGTGGACACTGGGCCAGCGGCCCAGCAGCGAAAGAAACAACATAAATTGAACCCCCGTTCTGGAGTGACCGCTCCCCCTTTCTTCAGGACCACTCTGCGGAGGCAGGATGGGGGAGGCCTGGGCATCTTCTCACATCGGGGTCCCCACCAGGGACGGTCACCCGAGGCCACAGCCTTCCTCACACTTCAGGGGGCCTCCCCTCTCCCCGGAGCAGCCCCTGCACCCCTGGGCCCCGGGCTAGGGGCCGCCGCTCTTCTTGTCCCCCCGGGACGCCTCTGGGGCCGAGGGCGGCCGCTCCGGGGAGGCGGCCGGCCGTGGCTCCAGGGCCTGGGCGAGCGAGGGCCCTGCTCTCGGCCCGGCTCCCTCCGTGAGCCGCAGTCCCCGGGGGGCTGGCTCCCTGCTTGCGTAGGGAGCTGGAAAGAGATCCTGGAAGTAGCCTTCCCTGCCCTGGGGGTGCCCCGCAGCTTGTGGGCAGAAGTGCCCAGGGAACGGCAGCTCTGGCAGGCAGGGGTCGCTCCAGGGGCCCGCACCTGGGGGCCGAAGAGGAAAGATGAGACAGGACGAGGGAGGGGACAGCCGTGCCCCCCGCCCCCAAGTGCAGCGGAGGCTCCAGGGCGGGTCTGGGTGAGGCGCCAGCACAGGGCCCAGCCGAGCCCCCGGGGCTGGAGACAGGGGACGCAGCTCAGGCCGGTGCCAGGCAGGAGGCCGGGGACCAGCTTCTCCCAGAATGTCGTCACTCCCAGGTGGCTGCTGGGAGCCCGGAGGTGCCCGTGGCCGGCCAGGATGCTGGCGCCACCTCCAGCTCCTCTGCCAAGCAGCTCACCCGCTCTGACCCTGCTGCGCCCCAGTGACACAGGAGCGGGGTGTCCACGGCAGGGTCCAGGGCAGGCTCAGGACAGCTGGACAGCAGCGGAGCTGGTCCCCCCCAGCCCCGGCTGGCCGGCCCTCACCCGCCTCCCCGTCTCAAAGGGCACCCCCAGCCCTACGCACCCAGAGGCCCAGCAGGCGGCTGCAGCAGGCCCTGCCCCGGGGGGGCACCCTGGATGCCCAGGAAGGGGCCCTGGGACGCGCAGTAGGGCAGCGCGAAGAGCGAGTCCTCCAGCAGCGGGAGCGGGGGGCCGCTGGGCGCGGGGAACGGGAAGGGGGGCAGGTCTGGGAACGGGGCCTGCGCGGCCTGGAGCTGCTGGGGCTGCGGCGTCTGCGTGAACGGGAAGGGCGCCGGCGGGTGGCCGTGCTGGTAGTCCTGGGGATCCAGCCCCTCCAAGTACGAGCAGGGGTGCGGTGACGTGATGCTGTGGGAGCAGGGGGGCCTCGTGAGGGTCGTCCCTCCGCAGGGCGGCGCGTGTGTCCTCGCCTGCCCTCCCCCCTGTACCCCATTATCTGCCCGGCTGCCGCCTCCCAGCCTTTCCCTCTGCTGCAGCTGGCCCCCCGCCCAGAGCCACGGCTTCTGTCCCCCACACAGTGGGTACCCCTGGTTCCTCTCGGTTAACCTACCCCACAGGCTCCATCTGTACCCCAACTCAAGTGACCCCCAACAGGTCCCTTACCTTGGCCCCCAGGACCCACAGGGGTCATCCTTGTGGCTGCCGTCCCTGCCAGGAGTATCCAGCATCAGAGGCAGCATTTGGGGGGCGTGGACGGGCCCCAGGGGCAAAGGCAGGTTGGCCCTCTGAACGGGTGGGGGGCTGAAGAGTGGTGGGGTCACCACCACCCTCTGAGCACCCTCGCCCTGTTGTAGGGGGGCCGGAGTCTGGTCGGATGTTAGCAGCATGGGGGGCTCTAGAGCAGAAGTCAAAGGGCAGTTGTGAGGGTCGGAAATGGGGGTGGAGGCGCAGATCTGGGGTGGCGGGAGGCGCGAGGGTACGAAAGGACCCCGACACCAGGACCCTGTGAACGGCCCCTACTGGGCCAAGACCCCGGGGAGTCTGGAAAGGCCCCTCTGTCCTGCTGCCTCCCTCGCGGCCCGTCCCCGGCCAGTGCTCAGAGGGCGGCCAGCGCACCCGGGAGGACGTCCAGGGGGGGCTCCGGAGAGAAGGGGCCAGGCTCGGGGGCCCTGGGCACGGCAGGTGGGAGCTCGGCTGCAGAGCTGGAGGCAGAGGGAACCAAGAAGCAGCTGGAATGACCCTGAGTCCCGCCTCCCCCCGCGGCCTGCCCACAGCAGTGGCCGGTCCCTGCCCCCCTGCACAGCCACACGCCTAGGACTCCCCGCCAAGGACTCCCCGCTTCCAGCACTCGCCCCCCGTCCCCGGGCCCCAGACCCCAGTGCACACCCCACGTCCCACGGCTGGGTGACCCAGGAAGGGGAGACGCTCACCCACACCGCCCGGCAGCGGGGCCGGGGGCGCAGCCCGCAGGGGGGGCCTTGTCCTGCTTCCCGTTCAGTTTCTCCACTTTGCGCCACTTGGCCCGGCGGTTCTGGAACCACACCTGGGGGGGCGGCGGGGGCGCTGGAGCCCGGGGCGTGGCTGTAGCCATGTGAGGCGGGAGGTCACCCCTCCGCCGCCAAAGCCTTTTTTTTACAAAAAGGCCCCTCCAGATACATTCAGGGGTGATTCCCTCCGCTTAGCTAAGCCTGGAGCAAGTGGAAAGGGCTAGAACACCCCCAGAGCCCCGACGCAGCCCCTGCTCGGACACGCTGGGTGCCTGCTCTGCTCTGCCAGAGCTGCAGGGTCTCCTCCAGGCCCCCGGCCGCCAGCCCCTTTACCATGATGCGCTGGGGCGTGACCCCCACGAGCTGGGAGATCTCCCGGCGCTTGTCGCTGTCGGGGTAGTGGTCCTCCTGGAATATCCGCTCGAGCTCCTGCAGCTGGTCTGGAGGAAGGAAACAGCAGGATGGACGCCAGCCAGGAGGCCGCGGCCGGGCGACGGGGCCTCCCCGGGGCCACAGCCCCCAGCCCGGGGCCTTGCCGGAGCCTGGCACCTGAGCTCCCGCTGGGGGTGCGGCCTCCTCTCTCTCCGGCTTTGGGGTGTGACCTCCCCTGCGTGGCTCCGGTCACGGCCACCCCGGGACCATGTGCAGGGCCAGGCACCGCGCTCAGGCCGCTGGGACTGGTTCCAGAGGGGCCCCTAATCCCTTCAGCGGCCTCTCACCTTCCGGGGCTTACCTGAGCGGTACAGGGTTCGAGTCTTTTTCCGAATCGGGCAGCTCACCTCCGGCGGCCTCTTCTTCCGGTCTGCGTGCTGACCGTTGCGGCCCAAAGTGCTGAGGAGGTTGGCCAGGTGGCAGGGCCCCCGGCCGGACCCGCACGGCACCGGGTTCGGTGTGGCCTGGGCGGAGCTCGCGCCCCCAGGAGAGGATGCTGGGGCCGCAGTGGCAGCGGGGGACCCCCTCTGCTTCCCTGGAGAGTAGGGCCTCCTCCCAGGCCTGTCCTCTCTCGTAGGGAGGGCGCCTCCTTCCTCCTGAGGCTGGGCTTGGGGCACGGCCGGGGTTCCTGCTTTGTGGAGTCCCCCTGAGCCAGCATCAGCCCCTGGGCCTCCTCCAGGGGCCTCTGACGGCTTCTTCTCTCCAGAGACGGCGCAGGAGAGAGGTGGTCCCTCTCCCGGGGCAGCCCGAGGGCCGGCGGCTGAACTCGGCCATGGGTCTTCATCCTTGGGCCCCACAGAAGCCAGCGGCTTGCCTCTACCTTCCTGACCTGTGGGGACCCGGCACCCCCTGATCTTAGCTGCCTCCTGCTCCCGAGTGAGTCCTGGTTGCTCTTAAACTTCCACTTGTCCACTCATCACATGGGGCAGTAACTCTAGGCTCACCCCCTACCCGGGCTAAGGTAGGGACCAAGCTAGAGACCTGCTTGGGAAAACGTGAGCAAATAGGCCCCTTCAGGGGCTCTGCGCATGTGCTGACAGCAGTGCTGACCTGGGCACACGCCCCTGTGGGTGACTGGGCTGCCCCCAAGACACCAGGCAAGTGAGGCTGAGGGACAGGCATCTGGTCAGACATTTCCAGGGCACACATGTTGGGGTGTGTGGGGAGAGAGAGAGACAGGCTTCTTCTAAGACTGGGACTTGCTCCCCGCTGCATAAGGCGGCTGCAGGGCCTCCAGAAGGCCAGACGAGGACACCCAGGAAGCCCATCCTCACCTTCCAGAGAACTCTGCCCCCACCTGCGCTTCTCACCCCACACCCGTCTCTCCTTCCTAAGGCTCCTGGGCACGGGCCAACCTGTTCTTACAGGTAAGAGTGACCCGGGCCACACCATAGTCCCTTGTCACTCAGTCTCCAGCCTTTTCTTCATTTCTGTGTGTTCTGGCTCCTCAGGCACCGCGTTCCGACACCTGCTGTGCACCCTCCAAAGGGGAGTGCGGGTCTGCACTACTGCAGGGGGCCCTACTAAGCCCTCACTCTAACCCATGAAGGAATTCACGTTAGAAAGAGGAGGAATCTGCCAAGTCCAGGCACAGCGCTCCTAATCACTGCAGAGTTCCCCATCACCCGTCCTGCCGCCCCCTCCACTCAGAGCCCCAGGACCCTCAGCTCCTGCATCACTTCCAAGAAAACTGGGATATTTAAAAAGAGATGCTAAGCCTAACTGGGGACTATTGTTATTTTAATGAAAACTGCATGAGGCAGGATGCCCTGAAGTCTCCGTGGCGGGAGGGGTGGGGGTCCTGGCTGCCCGGCTGTACCAAGCGCCTTCCTAGACACAGAGTAGCCATGACTGGGGGAGGGGACCGAGGCTGAAGAAGGGGTCAGCTGGCCTCTACGGGGTCGCCTGGCGCTATAGGGAAGAAGAGGCAGATTCCTTTCACAGCGTCTTCCTAGCAAACGGGGTACACAGTTGGGGCTCAAGATAAGCCACATGGGGGTGAAGCACCCTGGTAAGAAAGCTAAGGGGATCAGAACCTTAGCTTCTCAGCTAGAAGCATCCCAGGGCTCCCTCCCTGCGTGGACAGATCAGATCCGCAAGGACGCATCATGGGCCTCCCGGGACCCCAGCCCACCCAGCCCTGGGCCTGCTCAATCTCCACCCTGGAGATGGAGGCTGCTGGCTACCCCAGCCACGCCGGCCGAGCCCTTCTCCCCAGATACGCCCCCCTCCCAGGCCTTGGATTCTGGATTTGGGGTGCAGCCCCAGCGTGCTCACCCCGCAGGTCCTGGTGGGGCTCCTCAGTGGGTTCCATGGTCCTGACTCCCGCAGGTAGAGACGTGACTTACCTGCAGACCAGAGGGCTGCGGGCGCTGCCTAATGAGGCTTCAAGGGCTGCAGGTGCGCGGCCAGAGCCGCACGGGCGGACCCACTGGGCCTGCGCCCCCTCCCCGCCCCCTCCCAGAGCGTGTGGGCAGCTGCGGGGCAGCAAGGCTGCAGCACTGCGGAGGCCCCCACCGTGAGGGGCAGGGCCAGGTGTGGGCCTCAGGGCAGCCCCTCCCCTCCCCGGGAGAAGGAGCCCACGGGGAAGCAGTGCGGGAGGCGGAGCACCCCCCTGGGCCCAGGCCGCTGGCGCCCCACTTGGGGGTGGACTTAATCGTGGCTTTAGGCTGGGAATCAGCTCTGGTGTGAACTGTGGGAGGGCCTTCTGGAGCCGCACAGCCGGGGAACCCCAAAACCCGGGGCTTGAGCCTCTCGGCTGCTGACTGAAGTTTCGCCAAGCTTCGGCTGATGAGCAGGTCCAGGACCTCAGAAGTGCCCAGGCCATGAGGGGCACGCGGGGAGACCCCCCCCTGCCAGGCCACCCCGGGAGCTGCACAGCCTGGACCACGCTCAGCTGCGCCAGCACCAGGGGCCGCAGGTAAGACCCGAAGCGCCGCTACCTGTTTGGGGTTTTGGGGGTCATGTCTCTACCCTGCTTGGTATCATAGTTTTGTTCTCTGAGAGGGGGGCCCCTCACGGCGGGAGCTGTGGCCCCGGCTGCTGGAAGTGTTTCTTCCTGTAACTGCAGGAAAAGCAGTTGCTTCATAATTGATGAACTTGGGGAGTTCAGAGTTGGAAATGCTCAAGGCGTCCCTCCGTCCCCCGGGCCTGCCCTCCAGGGGAGGGAGTCACACAGGTGCAGGGAGGGGGTCGGGGGCGGGGAGAGTTCAGAGCCGAATCCAGGTGTCTTGCGTTTACAGTTAAGACTGGACAGCACGAGGCTTCTCACCCTAATCACCCATGGGTGCGTTTTCCTGGGCCTTGTTCTCCTGGGCCTTGAACTCCTTTGAGGGCTTGACCCCCCTACCTGTGCACTTCAGGGAGCCATAAGACCTTTGGTTCGTTCTGGAACATCAGCATATAAACAGATTAACCTGGCGCTAGGCTGCTCAAAGCTGGGGCATCTAACCTTTCCCTCCCGCTCCTACAAGGCCCGCGTTCTCTGGCTTACAGGGTTTAGAACTAGGGCCCGGGGTCTCAGCCAGGGAAGACGCACTGTAGGTCCAGACAGCAGGGAGTGGGGGCACGAAGGCGCTTTCTACGTGGAAAATTAGGGCCGTTTGGTGGTGACGTGGCTGCAGACACGACGTGATTGCTGCCTCCGACGTCTCTGTCACACCTGCCGTGACAGCTGTACCGGCCTGCCCTGTGACAGGCTTATGGGTGGACAGACGGGAACACATGAGGATGGTGTGGACGCGGTGGTGACGTGTGCAGAGGCTGACGGGCCCCGAGAAACAGGAGCTTCTCTCCAAGTCTCCTGGGGTGGGCTGGGCCTGGACAGGCTCTCTTGGAGAGGGCACCCGGGACTGTGGGCGGAAGGTTAAAAGGAGACGCGTGTTGAATGCAAACCGTAACAGCCCTGCTCGAACCTGACGCTGCCCCCACCTGCTGGCCCCTGACGGGTGCCGGGGCCTCGGCGTGCCTGGTCGTCTCCTCAGAAGTCTTGTCTCCCCTTTTCCCCTGAGACGTCCAGTTGCTTTGGTCTCTTGGCCCAGTGTTTCTGACCCCCGGGTCAGAATTTCTTCGGGAATGTGTTTAAGATGTGGCTTCCGGACCCCAGCCTGAGTCATTTGGATTGGCAGGTCCAGGGAGTGACCCAGAAATACTGTCACGAGCTCCTCGGCTGAATTTTATACAGATTCGAGCTTTCAAAGTTGAGTAAAACCTTCCCGGGGATGGGAGCGAGGAAGCGATGCTCTTTCGTCCTTTTCCAAGGAGTCTGCTGCGTGAGGAGCGGGGCGCGCTTGTTACTGGCGGATGCTGTCGCGTTAAGTCAAGGATGAATCATCCTCTGCATCACTCATGCTGCGTTCCCTCTCGCGAGCCCTCTGCTGGGTGAAGGTCGCCCGCACGCCCCTCACACGGAGTTTTGAGAGCTGCTGCGTCCGTCCTCTTGAATGAAAGGGTTTGCTCGGAGTCTTGGATGAGCAAATGTTGTCATTTCCTAGACATAAGTCCTCGCGTTTGTTGGCTTTCAGCCAGGACAGCAGAAACGTCCATTGGTTCATTCTGTATTTCCTCTCTCCCTCCCTCTCTCTCCCCCTGTCAGTAGGTCTGCATATCCTTGGCTTGCTGCTGTACAATTTATTTTTACAAAGGATACAGTTTTGTTTCTCTGAACATTTATTTTACTGCCTACAAGTGAGTTTGGTGTAAGGCAGCCTGGGGAATGTCTGGCTGTATTGTTGGGAAGGAGTTGCCTTTAGGTAGATGCTGATTAAAGGCGTGTCTTGCATAGATCAACTTTTTTTTTAAGATTTACTTATGCATACAAGAACTGGGGTACAGGCCAGAGGTGCGGGGGGTGAGAGGATCCACCAGAGACAGAGTGGGGAGCAGAACAGGCAGACTGACTGAAATACACTGCTGAGGGGAGCAGCGGGTGAGTCAGGGGAGGTCTGCTGCACCATGTGGGTATCTCCCTGGCTGGCCGGGGATCGAACTCGTGCAGCAGAGGCTGCGGACAATTTCACAGCGCGGTCTCAACCGCTGCACCAAGAGGGAGGTCCTTGTGTAGATCAATTTTAAGGAAAGGAAGGAGGGCAGGTGGCTCCCTCTGTATGGAGAGGATCCGCGGTGTCGTTTTCGGGGGACTTGGGGATATTTCTAAGTCTTATTTTGTTACGGTTCCTCTTTATGATCCTCAGATGAGTTCACACCCAGCCTTGTTTAGAGGCAAGGTTTACTTTATGTCCGCCTGTTCGTTTCTTAGTTTTTAGAGAGGTTCTATACACCCACCCCACCGTCTTAGCAAGAGTCTGCTATTCCAGCTTTATTTTCTTCTCTCGGCCGGGAGAATGATAAAACTAAAGGGAAAATACCTCCTGCTACCAAAGCATATAACCCACCTCGTGGTTTCCAGCCTGTGCAGCTGTCACTGCCCAGTTAGGTTAAGCGGGTGAAGTGGGCATCCTCTGTCCTGCCTCCTCCTGTCTCTCCACAATGAGAAAAATAACCAGAACAATGTGTGCAAGAAAACTTTCACAGCAGAAATGCAGGTAATTTGTTCTTAGGTGCCACACCCGGGCAGGTCGTAGACGGCCACCGGAGGAGCTGGCACAGAGAAGCAGGAACAGGTTAAGACGACTGGGCCCCTGCAGCTGTCCTGGGGGGGACATCGCAGCCACGGCGAACGTGGATGCCAGGGCCCCCGAAACTCCCCAGGAGAGAAGCACCGTCCAGAAGGGGAAGCCGAGCCGGGGCGTGGCCGGGGAGGGGGTGTCCTGCATGCAAGGTGTCAGGCGAGGCCGCGGTGACAAGCTGCTGGTGCCGCCAACTCGAGAG